CTATCACACTTTGTTTTGTTTGTCGCCCTTCTAATTGTTGAGTGAAAGGACATCCTGGAGCAATTGACAAAAGAGATTAGACAAACGCTGGTTAAGCTGCCCTAGGGAAAGGAATGGAACCCCTTTTTCTCACAATGTGACTGTTTTCGTATGGATACCTGCTAGCTATTAGTCTAGATGATTCCTCTTGAGCGTCCACTATTTGGGATTTAGCATATTTGCGGCACTATTTGAACAATTTTATCTACCAAAGGGAGGGAAAAAGCATACCACACGTTTTCTAATCTAGTTGTATCATTTTATCCCATGTAGTCCAACTGTCTCAGCCTGATTGATTGTGCTTGCAGGCTGGTACTGGAATAGCAGAACTCATAGCCCTTGAGATGTCAAAACAGGTTTATCCTCTAGATCGAATTATTTATCCATATATTCTTTCAAATCTTGATTTGAGGTTTTTGGACAGAAAACAATTCTAAATTGCTGCGGTTTATTCACTGTGCTATATGCAGACAGGTGCTCCTTTGGAAGAGACTCGTAAGAACATATGGCTTGTCGACTCAAAGGTAGTGAAACACATCATTTCACTTATCATGTGAACTAAGTTGCTTTTAGTTATTCTTTAGTCCTGTCAATTGGCTATGAGCTGACATAGTGATGAATAATTTCTCAGGGATTGATTGTTTACTCCCGCAAGGAGTCTCTGCAGCACTTCAAGAAGCCCTGGGCTCATGAGCATGAACCCATTAAGGAACTCGTGGATGCTGTTAAAGTGTGCTCTCACTCTCACTCTCTCTCTCTCTCTCTCTCACACAAACACACACACACACACAAAATAAATGCATATATGTGTGGTTGGAAATGGTCCTTTATCTATAAAGGGATTTTTTACTCACCTCACTTCTTCGACCTCGTCAGTCAATCAAGCCAACTGTGCTGATTGGAACATCTGGAGTGGGAAGAACTTTCACCAAAGAAGTGGTTGAGGCCATGGCCGCTATAAATCAGGTAATTTCTAATCTGTGTATATTCATTTGTAATTGAAGGATCTTCTCTGTAAACATGAGTGGCTGAAATTTAATCATATGGGTGACTGCAGAAACCAATAATTCTTGCTCTTTCAAACCCGACTTCACAATCAGAATGTACGGCAGAAGATGCATACACATGGAGTCAGGTAACTTGAAAAACACAACTTTTATATCAAAGTCTACACTCCTATCATTTATCTCAATTTTTCCCTTCTGGTCCATAATGTGATTCTTTATCAACTGACAAGTATATGTCAATTCGTGCTACGATGGATCGAATATGACTGTTCATGTTACCCCCTGATTACCTGCAGGGCCGTGCTATCTTTGCAAGTGGAAGCCCGTTTGCTCCTGTTGAGTATGGAGGGAAGGTTTTCGTCCCTGGCCAGGTTTGATTCATGTAAACTGACTGTCACGTACAGATGCATGAGATCATGAAAAGGCTGACTCGTTTGTGATATTTCTCTTCTTTAGGCAAATAATGCTTATATCTTTCCTGGACTTGGGCTGGGCTTGATAATGTCTGGCGCAATTCGAGTTCACGATGATATGCTTTTGGCTGCCTGTGAGTGCTCTTATCTCAGCGTTCTGTACTTGCAATTTCAAATGCACGTTTTTCGAATCCTCAATTTCTGTAGCTGTCTTCTTTTCTGAGTCTCTTTTTTCCTTGGGAACAGCTGAGGCCCTGGCTGCAGAGGTGAGTCAGGAAAATTATGACAAGGGACTCATATACCCACCTTTCGCTAATATCAGAAAGATTTCCGCGCATATTGCGGCCAAGGTGGCTGCCAAAGCTTACGAACTGGGTGAGCGCTCTTTACGTATTAGTAAATACCTAGAATTTTTCATAATTGCACTAATTCGTCATCGTGAACTTATTGGAGGATAAATCATTTTCAGGTTTGGCAACTCGCCTTCCTCAACCGGATGATCTGGTGAAGTATGCGGAGAGCTGCATGTACAGCCCCGCCTACCGAAATTATCGGTGAACCTGCGAGAAATGCCGAAGTTTTGCCGCTTCATGTTTGCTATTGGAGCATAGTACTTTATCAATCTTTCTGTTTTGTGTTCGCCTCATTGCTTATTTATACCCTGTCACTACCTAGGAGAGATGTTCTACGAATAGAAAGTGGAAGAATTTAGGCCATACAATAGGGAAAGATGAAAGAGGGATCATAACTATATCTGAGTGGGGGAAAGTTCAGGGCTTGTGTGATGTTACTTTTTTATGTTAAAAGTTTCCCAGACCTGACCAAGAACCAATCTCAAATATTGTTGGAGCTTTTGGGCTGGATCAGTTCAATATGGAGACAGTTCTGACAACCTTCATGCCTGAAGATGATTTCATCCGTCGCTTGTTCTTGCTGTGAATGTTTCGTCAGGACAGCATCCCTTGTCCGCTTACCTTGCGCCCAACGAAACCTCATGCCTTAGTCATGTTGCAACTTGGAGATATAATAATGATTTTAATGGTTGTTAATGCCTTGGTCGCGCCCCCGTCTCGTAGCCTCGGGAGACGACGAGCTAATCCTCACCTCCTAGATCAAATTCTTCTCCGATCGACGATCGGGTGTTGCCCGGTAATTCTGTCGTGCCGAATTCCCCGGGGGCCCGGTAAAAACGGACGGTCTGCGCATTACACGACTGAAAAGATAGCGAAATCCAAAGCCAAGCCAAGCCAAGCCAAGACTTGCGGTCCCTCAGGCTTCACAATGTGGGAGCTGGCTATTATTGACTTTGCTAAGAAACGCATCCTCCCAAAGCACGACCAGATGCCGTGTAAAAATCATGCAGGAACGTACAAAGATTCGATTGGGTTGAGATCACGAAAAGCCAAGAAGAAAAGGGTTTGTCCGAACTGATGCGTGCACGTGAGAGAGAGAGAGAGAGAGAGAGAGAAAGAGAGGTGTGAAACGCCATGCAATTTGGCTGCTGCATGCAATACTAAATTTCCACGATATTCATCGTTTAAATCTTCTTTTCTTTTTCTTTTTCTTCTTTTTTTTAAAATTTTAGCAAAATCTTGAAAAAGAAAGGTGTCGCTTTCAGAAATTACAGCGAAGATAACATTCGAGATAATGTCTTTTTTATTTTATATTATCTTCTGTTCTTTTCGGGCAAAGAGATAAACCAAAGTGGGCAGCTTTATGGTTTTATCTTTGGAGATAAGAGATAACGGAATATCCGGAGCCATGTTTGACTTGGCTTCCCCCAGTCCCTCATCTCGCGACTCGTTCTCCACATGCGCAATTTGATATCTTTGGATGCAACAAATTTGGTTTTACAGGATTGATGTTTGACATATTAAATGACTCCATAATCTTCAACTAGACATTTAAAAATGATAAAGAATTTATCGGCTGTAGATAAAAATAGAGAGAAAATGTGTCAGAAAAATCATAAACCTATTCACTTTCATATGAAATGAGAAACTGGATATTCGGCACTTTTCCCTAAAAATAACTGACATCATTTCACATGTGTATCGATCCATTCGCCTTCCCATGCAACGAGGAAGTGGGTATTCGGCACTATATTTGCACGTGAGCTTACATGTCTTGCCCGTCGGATTTTAACAACCAGCGCTGCCCATTTTTGCAGTTGGAGCAATATCGATCCAGATTATTTTCCCAATTTCCGACGACGTACTTTCAGGGCCAGCGAAAATCAGGAACGCCGTGCTTCCAGATGTACCGATCGAGGGCGGCGACGCGTGGAAAACGGGTACGACAAGCAATGCGGCAAGATTCGCGAGGCTCTTGCCGACGACCGTTCAAAGGGTTTGTGACCGGCAAAAGATCAGTCCCTCAGAACCATCTTAGGCATTTCAATCATAGGTCTTTTTCGACCAAAAAGCAAACTCGTATGTCTTCACGTGCTTTCTATACCAATGTCTTTAGATAATCTGAAGGGTCCAATCTTTTTTTGTTTTTTTTATTTTTTTTGGGGGTACAAATTAAGGTTCCTATTATAAATCGGATCTACGGAAGGGAAAAGGACATCTTTGTCAAGGATGAGGACAAAAATTGGAGGAGCAGATTAGATTTCATTATTCCTTTGTGGGATGAGGAAAAGCGCGGATCGCGATTGGCGGCAAGGGGGGCCCCCACCCCCGGACACGTGTACGGCGGGCGGCGCGCGACTAAGATCTTCCTCAAACCCCACGAAAGCAGGCGTGGGGCCCCCCCGGCGTCCCTCCACGTGGCGCGATGTTTGTGGAAAAGCAACGTGCCCACTTGGAAGGACGTCGATTTGATTTCGATGGAAGGACGCGACTGAAAAATTCCACGATACCAAACGAAATCTTATTCTCTTTAGGGGGGGGGGGTAGGGGGTCAAATTTGGTTCCATCTTGATGGGAAAATGTCGCATTTTTCTTGTAAAAAGCGCGTTATAATCCTTTTGATTCAAATGCACATTCAATTAACCAATCGAAAAGGTAGGACGATTTGGGGGGAGAAAGGATCCCGGACCGCTCCGATGTCAATCGATAGGCGACGTGATACCCGTGTTGAAATGGAAGTTGGACTCGTTCTGCTAAAATGGAATTGTTTGCCTTTGGCTTTTTCCCAGCAAGTTTTCAAGCCAAAAAACGAAAAATCGAAACATCTCCTCCGAAAACGATTTTCCATAGAAAGCGTTCTCCTTTACTCGAAATAAACACACCTTTTTTTTTTATAAAAAAAAATGGATCTTTTGAAAAAGTTTCAAACTAATGATTGCTTTTTTTTATATTTTTTCCCGTCCGTTGGGAACGATAAAAATGCGCAAAAAAAAAGAGTCTTAAAACACCGAAGCAGCGTCCCCCCGCGCGCGCGAAACACCGAAACTACCCCCGCCCAAAAGACGCTCCGGGAGCGAGCCGAAGAGGAGCGGCGCCGAAGCCCAAAACGGTCATTTCGCCACCCCACCCCGCTTCATCCTCTTTAACGAACCTCCCCCCCGCGTTTTTCTACACTCCCTCTCTCTCTCTCTCTCTCTCTCTCTCCGCTGTGCCTTCGATCGCAGAAATTGCTCCATCCTTCCCATCCGCGGGCGAACGGGCCGGGTTCGGGTCGGGTCGGGTCGAGGCGCTCGCCGCCATGGCGCGGCGGTGCTCCCACTGCAGCAACAACGGCCACAACTCCCGCACCTGCCCCGCCCGCGGCGTTGGCGGCGGGGGCGGCGGCGGCGGGGTGAAGCTCTTCGGGGTGAGGCTGACGGACGGGTCGATCATCAAGAAGAGCGCGAGCACCAGCAGCCTCTCGTCGCACCTCCTCTCCTCCTCCTCCTTCTCCTCGTCGCCGTCGCCGTCGCCGACCGCCGGGTCGCCTCCGCCTCCCCCCCCTCTGCCGCCGCCGCCGTCGTCCGACCGCCGCCACCGCCACCATCACCACCGCGACCCGGACGGTTGCTTGTCCGATGATCCCGCGCGGGGCGCTTGCGCGTCCAATCGCCGTGGGGAGAGGAAGAAAGGTATTCGCTTTCTGGCCTGATGTTATGCGGCTTGCCTCGTTCACGTTTTCGTTCGATTTGGCGATGGAAGCCGCGCTTTCCATGTGTAGTTTATCAGCATCAGAGTGTATGCTGAGATGCCCGCCACGTAAATTTGAGGTCGAGGCAGACGGAATATTTTTTTCTCTTCTAAAACTTGCGCTAAAAATGTAATTTTTACGTTCCGGAATAGCGTGTATATGCGAATTGATTGGCTTGTTCATGTTGTCTCTTTGGCCTTTGGGTGGTTTATGGTAAACAACTTGTGGTGGTGAGATTAAAGATCACATTTTTACGCATCACAAACGAAAGAAAAAAAAAAAAAACAAGAAAGAACAGAGAAATCGCTTGATGTTGCAGAGGGAATATCGTATTCTCCATTTTTTGGGTCGATGTGATGGTTTTGTCATCGTCGCCTATCGTTTGCGTTATAATAGCGTACTAGTTCTGTGTTTTCGATGTAGTGCACGAGGTTTTTTCAGCTTGTTTTCTTGCGCCGACAGCTCTGCTTTTTTTCGGTCCTTTTCTTCATTTCTGTTGGTAAAGGCAAAAGAGAGGAGAATTTTGTTTACGTCTATAATGATCCCTTTCTTAGTGTTTTCATAGATGTTAAGAAATCGTGCACGGTTTATTAGATTTTATGAAGGCGGCTCTCGATCTCATTCCCGAGTCGAGCAGCAATTTGGATTGCTGAATGAGTGGCCTAGGGGGAAAGTCAATCGCAGATATTCCATTTTGACCGCATTCTGTCACCTATTGTCCCGGAGATTTAAGTTTCTTGGACCATTTGATTCTTGTTGCGTCCTGGTTGTTGCAGTCGGAGAAAATCCGGTATTCTAAGGTTAGTCAATGTGAGGATTAAAATTGAAACCAACGTCTAAGTCTTTCAAAGTGGGATGACATTAGTGAGAAAACTGAGAGCAGAGAGCACATGGTATTCAGAAAAACAAAGCTGAGACTACTTTCCGGGGATGCTGTATATTAAACTTGGTGTCAGAAACAGCTTATCTTTGTTTCGTGGATTAATTTTCGCCTATTCTTCGTTGAGTCATGCTTGACTGCTCATACAAGCTGGTTTATTGACTTGATGTCCATCTTATTCTGTTTCTTTTGGTAGTTAATAGCAGGAAAAAAAAAGCTGACAACTACATGATCCATTCTATATATTGTCATTTAGAACATCCTTTTGTAACTGCAGTAATAGCTATAATCCATTACCTGTCATTTTATTATCAATTAAGCGTTCTTCAAGATGCCATCCTTATTGAATCTGCAAGGCTAATTTTTGGTATTGCTACATGCTATGACCTGCTTGATTGTGAATAAACTTTCTTTTTGGTCAAAAGTTTTTAAATAGCGGCATTAGGTGAAGTATTGTGTAACATCTGAACCATGTTGGATTTGGTTTCTAGGTGTCCCTTGGACAGAGGAGGAACACCGGCTTTTTTTGATTGGTCTGCAGAAACTAGGTAAAGGAGACTGGCGTGGTATAGCGCGCAGTTATGTTACATCGAGAACTCCTACTCAAGTGGCTAGCCATGCCCAGAAGTACTTCATTCGGCAGACTACTGCTAGCCGTAGAAAGAGACGCTCCAGCCTTTTTGACATGGCTCCAGATATGGTATGCTTTTCCTTCTACAACATGCCCACTTTTTCCATGTATTCCACGGACAATTAAGGCGTTTCCGATGTTTGGCACTAACTCAGTGAAGCACATCTTGCTCTGTCAATTAATAACCCCATAGGGGACAAATGGCGAAGAAGTGCTTTTGCGAAGATATCTCGATAGCAAAAGTGAATTCATCAGTATGTATGTGTCCTTAAAAATTCAACCAATAGAAATTATGAAGGCACCTGGGAGAAACTTTACTAATAGCTTGGTCTGTTACCTTTCAAGGTTGACTTGTCTCGTTTACTTTCTGTCTATTAATGTTGTTATTTTACGGTACTTGATGCTGCGCCTTTCCTGATTAATCTATTTTGTGATTTTAGGCCACTGATCGTCCACTAATACCCAAAGAAACAACCTTGCCTCCTCCTTTTGCAAGAGATACTGATCGACCAGATTTAATGCCTTCGCTGGATCTCTCGCTGGCCTCAGAATCTAAGCCAATGGAAACCTCTTCTCATGAAACATCTAAAGATGTTGCCAAAACTGCAATGGCGCCTATCGTGTTTCCGTCTACGATTCCTGAACATTTCCCAACTTATTACAAGCAAGTACCTCTTTCAATCTGGCCATCGAATAAAACCTCTGTGGAAAATAAGACTGCAGAGATATGTCATCATCAGGTCCTGAAGCCAATTCCCTTGCTTCCTAAGGAGCCCGTCAATGTAGATGAACTAGTTGGTATGTCTCAGCTGAGTCTTTTAGAGACCGAGAACGGCTCCAGGGATTGTCCAACTCTCTCTTTGAAATTGCTTGGTGAGCCCTCGCGCCAATCAGCTTTTCATGCTAACCCGGTTGCTTCACCAGATTTAAGCAAGAGCAAGAACAATCCAATCCAAGCAGTTTGATTTTCAGAAAGGGCATGGTACTTAGGCTCTTAAGGGGAAGAACCCTTTGTCATCTTGTCCCTTCTTTAAACAGCTTGTTTTCCTTAACATTATGCTTTATGGTCCTTAGAGCCCCAGTTGTTAGATAAGCATAGATAGATTGTAATTCATATTTATTCTATTCATCTGTAATCATGTATGCTCTTATTTTGACTGATTTACATCCAGACTCTAATTTGGATCCATCATGTTTGTGCTCGTTAATCCTCTGCTCCTTTCTTTTTTTTTCCCTTCATTCTTTGGGGGCAAATTTAGCGGCTAGTACGCATTAAAGTCGACTGGGAGTTCGAATCATTAAAATCAAATGAATCTTCCCACCACGATGATTCTACCTAATATAAACAATTTCACGAACTTGATTACTTATATCACCACAAGTTTCGGGCAGAATTTGAACTCCAATGAACAAAAGCATTCTTTTGTTTTCCCAGAAACAAGTCAGTAAGGTTGTGATCTGAGATAATAGGCTAATCTGCCCTCTGTTTTCTTTCCAATTTTGTAATTTGGCTAGAACCTCTTTATTTTGCCTTTTTTCTATAATTTATTTTCTGTTTACAGCTCCTTAACAGTCACTTGCAGCTCTTCAATAGCTATAGAACGGAGAGGATATATCATCTTGCAGAAGCATGAGCTAGATTTGAGGCCAAACAGAACTTGAGCATCCAATGAGCCTGCAGATTGAAGGCCAAGAAAGAAAGAAACTGACAGCCTCGTCGTCTTGAGGATTGTATCGTAGTAATTGGAACGAATCAGATCAGCTTACTGAGAACATGACCGCGTTTCTAGAGGAATCCCCAACTCGTTCCTTACACAGTTAAGAAAAGCGAAAACTAATGTTGGGAGAATCATGAGAAATGCTATGTCAAGACAGAACATTCATGGGAACAGACGCTACAGGGTACTCAACGGGATACATCTCCATCTACATCTTTCCAACTAGAGCTTTTTGCACGGTTTTGCTTTTGCCGAACGAGTTAAATATAAGTATTCAAGAACCGCTACATTTTCCTATCTGCCCATCAACTGCAATACCTTCGACTATTTGCAACAGTGATAATACTTCTCTTGGGGCACCCAAAAGAAAATGCCACCATGACTGATCAAACTATCGAAAATTGTACATGAAACAGAAAACAAGTTACGCGTCCCATATGTTGACAAAGAAACCTGCAAGATACAGCACGAGCAAAATCTGAGACAGCAGATACATGGCTATTCTCTTCCTCTCTTGTGTTTTCTCACCTCGGGGTTTGATGCTGTGGAGGCATAAAATCTCCCGGTAAGGCCATCAAAGCAATAGAATACAGATACCCAATTTACAAGTCAAAATTTCCAGGGATACTTTATGTCAGCTGAAGGCCTGCGGAGCTGGACTTCCTCCATCAAGGGAAACCTCATCTAATCTATCAAGAAATCCTATCCCTTCTGTCTCTAACAGTGCCGAGCTGTTGACCCGGAAACCATATGCAGATGCCGCTTCAAACTTCGTCCACAGTTCTCTCTTAAGCGTGTTTTCGCCTGGTCTTTTGCCCATCCGGATACTCTCCGGTTCCTTCCAAACTGGAGTATTTTCAATGAGTGCCATGGTACCGCCAACTGGTTCTGCAAAAAAGAAAAAAGTCATTCCATACATTTTCATATAGGCACATTGCCTGTGCTACTATGATCATTTTTTAGAAGAGTTCATAAGACACAAACCTTGCTTTCTAGATTTCTCAATTGCTCGATGGCTTTCTAGAACAGCATTTCCTTGTGATAAGGGAGAGTCAGCTTGCTGGGCCAGAACAGGTATGCTTTTTGTGAACTGGCTATTAGTGGTTGCAATAGTCAGCTGTTTCTCATCGAGGGGCTCCATCAAAATACAAGACTTGGGGGGAGACATAAACCAATCTGGCGAAGACGCCTTTTTCTCCTTCCCAATTCCCAGTTTAATAGCCTGTCGTATCCCCAGAAGCTCTGGATACCTTGTGGCCAGACCATCTGAAGCTCCATCTCCGGAGGATTCCGACAATTCTGACTCACTGTACTTATTGACTCCCACAGGAAACGGAGTAGACTTACGGACATTCACATTTCCCCAGTGAGAAGATTCAGAGATGGGTTCGAGCAATGAACAGGACTTTGGTGGTGACCCTTTAAAGCAAGGCGTCATCATGAGCAAGGAGCAGTCCCTCTTTGACAGCACCATTGGAGAAGCAAAACCCAGCTCTTCAGTGTTGTCCTTCCTCCTCACAAGAGTATCAAAGGGTTTATTTGGCGTTGGATATATAGCCACATCTATCAGCGAGTCGTCTTTAATTTCTTGAGTTAGAGTGAGGGAAGGTGGTGGAGCAGCGGCCGAAGTTATCTTCTCCAGTAGAGATCTAGATGATTCCTGGCATTTGGATGACAATGCTCTTGATATTGGCAAAGGTGTGAGCATGAACACTTGCCGACCTCTTTCAACTGTACAATTAGCGCGCCAGGATACAAGGGGAGAAGGAGAAATCAGCGAATCCATTTTGTCTTGCTCTGGACTTTGAATCACAATGCTTTCATCGTCTTGGACAGGAGAAGCTAAGACTGCAGGAGACGGTTCGACCACATTCGTAAGCTCAATGGGAGGACTGGAGAAAGCCTTCTGCAATCTGGAAGGCCATGGCTGCAGACAAATATTATCAGCAGCTTAATTGGGGAATACAGTATACCAACAGAATTCTACCATAAGAAACCTCGACAATCAGACCTTCAATGAAGACAGCATTTCAGACAGGAAGAGTGCCAAAGACTCGACTTCTTTTTTTCCGTGCTTGCTCATTTCTTTGAGTTTGAATGCTTGGGCTACAAGTTCATCGATCTGGAAGAAAGCATTGAACATGATCATTAATTACCAAAAGGAAGAGAGTCTAATAATGGATATGGCATAGTATACTTTTATATGAAAAACTCATCACTCGGTTGGCTATATCCTGACTGTCAATGGAGAAAACCAACGTGAACATCCCTATGAAGTTCTCCATAAGAAAAGGGAAAAAAATTGCTGATAAGTACAGTTTTCAGGTGAAGCAGCGAAATGGTTCATAAACATTCCAGTGGAACATCACCAAAATTGGCTTGATGATCATGAACTTGAATCAATCCTATGACTATACTCCACTGCAGATTTCATCTAGAGCTCAAGCAAATTCATCACACTGCAAGTTCCACCCTCACCCCCCCCTGACAATTCAGCGCCCGGCAAATCCGAACCTCGCATTGCCATCCTCCTCATATACTCAGAAAACGTAAATGGCGTTGTTTTGGTGTTGAGACCTTGAAGACTAATCACAACTGAAGAGCCTGCACAAAGCAGCCTATTTTCATCATCTCACGCCACTCGATTCCACCGCGAACTTCCGGTCTACTTTCTTCCGGTCCTATCGCCACACAGTGAGACCCGACAGCAATCGACACCGACACCGATTACAGGAAAAAATTCCAATCCAACCAACGAACAGCTCCAAAAACCGCTTCCGACCGAACCCGAATCGATCATAGCCAAACTCCTAGGGTTTCCCGGAGCCACAACGAAAAGGCCAAGGAACAGGAATCACCTTTCTCATCCCGACATTACCTGATGCACGACGCCGGAGATATCGGACTGGACAAGCAGCAACCGGTCGAGCGAGTCGTCGTCGCCGCCGTCGCCTTCTTCTCGCACTTCGTCCTCGATGCTGCGATTGTCGATTCCCATGGGCGCGGCGGACGGAGGGAGCGGTTTCTCACTCTGGTCCGCCGATGATTTGGATCCGCGCTTCGCTCCGGCGCTCTTCGCGCAATCGCCGGCGGCGGCGGCGCAGCCATTGGTGCAGTTGTTGTTGGGTAGTTCCTTCAACGCCTTCCTTCCAGATCGCCCTCGGCATCGCTGCATCTCTCTCTCTCTCTCTCTCTCTGCTTTTTTCGAATTCCAGTTTCGGTTCTCGAATAGGCGGGCAAATATTGCATTTAAATTTTGGATAATTACACAAATGGTGTTTAAACTTTAGCCAAATCTAAAATATCGTATCTAAACTTTTTTAACTTGTTTAACATGATCCATGAATTTTAGTTTAATGTGCAACATGAATATTTGATTTGTTCAATTTGATCTTCGAACTTTTAGTAAATATTCAATTTAATCCTTAAACTATGTAAAAACATTTAAGGCCATCCTTCCATCAATCAAAGTTTAAGAACATCATCGAACATCTTCATATAGTCCAGAGACTCAATTGAATATGTACCAACAATCTAGGAATCATATTAAATAAATTAAAAGTTCCGAGATTATATTGCAAATCGGGTTAAAGTTCAAAGATTATATCGAACGAGTTAAAAGTTCAGGAACGACATTGCACGTTGGGCCAAATTTCGTGAATCATTTGTGTTATTTTCTTTGAAATTTGGCTAATTTTCTTTGGATTGGGCCGAGATCATGGGCCGAGTTCTGCTCGAGCCCATGATCGCCGGATCCCAGACGGAACCGCCGGAAATTTCTGAACCTGGTCGCAGAACCCGTCCAGGTGGGGGGGAAGAGGAGAAGAAAGCCCGACGCTTCCCGACAAACGGCGGCCGGGCAGGCGCGCGCAGACCACCTTCTCCTACTTCCTCGTCATCCTCGATCAAAGAATCGCGAACCAGAAACGAAGCCCGAGCCCCCCCCCTCCGACCATGGCGGAGACGACCCTTTTCGCGGAGGCCCGCCTGCCGCACCAGAGACCGTGCGGCGGCGGCGTCCTCTTCCCTTCGGTCCTGGCTCCGAGCGCCGGGATCCGACCTTCGCTGCCGCTCCTGACCCGAGCCATCGAGACCCAGAAGCCGTACCTCGAGTCCCTGATCCATGAGGCCGGGGCCCTGCTGCTCCGGGGCTTCCCGGTGAGCTCCGCTTCCGACTTCAACGACGTGGTCGGGGCGTTCGGGTACGAGGAGCTGCCGTACGTCGGGGGAGCCGCCCCGAGGACCAACGTCGTGGGGCGGGTCTTCACGGCCAACGAGTCGCCGCCCGATCAGAAGATCCCCTTCCACCATGAGATGGCTCAGGCAAGGGCACTCTCTCTGTCTCTCTCTCTCTCTCTCTCTCTCTCTCTCTCTCTCTCTCTCCACCATTGTTTTGCTCCCAAGTTGTAAATCACTGGGTCTGTGACTTTTGCAGTTCTTGGATTGACATGTTTGATCATGGCGAGGTATTTTCGCTTCCAGTTTCAGTGTAATTCGAGTGTAGATTTCATTGAGTGCTCTGTAATTCGAGTGTAGACTTTTGTGGAAACATTCTAGTTGCTCTGAACAGCTAGAATCGTCACCATGCTTATCGATTTTCCTCTTTGTTCTTGTTCCAATTACTATGATGTTGTTATGTTGTTGCTATTTCTGTAGCATGGAAAGTTCTTAGTCCCCTGATCCTCTGTTAATGTTCAGTAGTATTAGTTCCTTCCTTGTTTAATGGGTCGATCCGATCATCATCAACAGGTTCCTGAATTCCCATCCAAGCTTTTCTTCTTCTGCGAGGTCGAACCGGGGAGCGGCGGGGAGACGCCTATTGTGCTCAGCCATGTCGTCTACGAGAGGATGAGAGAGAAGTACCCGGATTTCGTGCAGCAGCTGGAAGAGCACGGATTGATCTACACTCGGGTACTAGGGGAAGAGGACGATCCCTCCTCCCCGATCGGCCGCGGATGGAAATCGACGTTCTTGACCGATGACAAGAGCTTAGCCGAGAAAAGGTTTGTGCCGACATAGAGCTTTCATGGCTGTGCAGACATGATTCGACTCGGCGACTAATCGAGCGGCCATTGAGATTGTATCACGAGTTCGTCGCGTATCGTTTGTTTTCTAAAATTTTGTGGAGAGTGATCTGGGTGGTTGTTACCTTGATCGTTGGTCTCTCTTGTATTTAAAATGCGTCACTTTCAGTAACCTTCTTGATCTGGACATGTTTTGCAGCAATGGTTTAACGAGACATTCTCATTTTGACCTCTCATAAAACATTTTGCCAGGGCTGCTCGGTTGGGTATGAAGCTGGAGTGGACAGAAGACAGCGTGAAGACGATCATGGGTCCTATCCCGGCAATCAAACTCGATGAGTCACGGAACCGCAAGATCTGGTTCAACAGCATGGTGGCGGCGTACACCGGCTGGAAAGACGCGAGGAACGACCCCGTCAAGGCAGTGACGTTCGGCGACGGCAATCCCTTGCCCCGCGACGTGGTTCTCGACTGTCTCAATATCCTCGAAGAAGAGTGCGTCGCGATTCCCTGGAAGAAAGGCGACGTCTTGCTGCTGGACAACTGGGCCGTCCTTCATTCTCGGAGGTCGTTTGATCCGCCACGCCGTGTGTTAGCTTCACTTTGCAAGTAAATCAAGCACTAGGCTATCACACTGGGATAGAGAGGTGGTGAGTATGAGCTATATAGTACATCAACTGGATAATTCTAGTGTATGGTCAAATCCCTGATCTCAGCCATGATGATTGGTGCATATGATCATCACTTGAGACTTGCACATAGTGGATCTACAATAAACATATCGGCATCTTCCTTCAATCCTCAAAACTGCACGTTAATGTTAACTTTTAACTAAATGAATCCCCAAGCACTGTTTCTGTCTGGAAGTAATCTGAGGATGCGAGAATCCACATTAAGTAGAGATGGCAAAGTGGGTCGAGAACCATATTTGAACTCGGTTGATAGTGAATATTCACATCAACAAAACAAAACAGCTTGCTGGAAAAATAAGCAGGGCAATTCGTCCTCACTTCACAGTAACAATTTACACTAGAACTAATTTTCGTGCCAAAAAAGATTTATACTTCCGGATGACAACGCACCTAGATAAAGAAAAAAGTAAGACTGGCAAGAACGAACGATAGGACGTATAGAAACAACCGTGCATATCCGCATTTTGTATACACACCGCTAGAATAAGTCACGAGAGGCGCCCTTACGCCATGGGAACGAGAGACTTTTTGAACCCTCACTATCTTCCTTGGACGAGGCCACTGAACACTTGGCTGTTACCAGCAAGAGTAGCTTCCCACTCCACCGATGACAAGAGGATTTGAGAGAGGGTAATCACGACTTGCTTCATGTCTGGCCTCAGGATGGGATCGTCTTCCACGCAATGCTTCGCCAACATGGCCATCTAATAAAAGAGCCCACCAAAAGTTTCTATAAGAAACCATCACCTCCATTGTTTGAAGTTTGAGAGCCTAGTTAGACGCAAAAAGAACTTGAATTCTTTTCCAGACCATGCATAGTGATCTAGTGATGTCACGGTGATGCTTCATAGCTTTACACTATTCGTGCGCTAGTAATGCCCGATAAAGAACTTGTATAAAGATCGCAAGGCAACTACAAATTACCTTGTATACACAATCGTGGGGATACAAATCCATCAGATTGGGATCGATGCAGTCTTTCATACTTGACATGTTCATGGAGTCTGGTGAGTTCCTAAGAGCTGCTAACATCTGCAGTTGTGTTAGCAATATGATTAGTACAATTCAAGGTCATCTTTCTTTCCTTCTGCAGAGCACTATTTGACATTTCTGCATACATAGAGTCGTGCCCAATGGGCAAGCCAACAGAATGATGACTTGAGACCAATTTCAGAAAGAAGCAAAAAATCTCTATTCAAGTATATAATATAATCTAAGATTGAACAGACTGTATATCGAGATCGGATATGTGCCGGAGAACTTTCCATGAGAACTTACTATGGACACCAGTGAACGTCTTTCCGTACTTTTTGTCCCTGTGCCTTCAGTGCGTATTGTGGCCTCCTTTCCAGATATGATCTCGAAAAGGACAACACCAAATGCGTATACGTCGCTCTTGGTAGTGGCAAGGCCATTACTCAAATACCTAAAACCACCAGCAAAATTAACACACAGCTGACTAAGGATGGACAGGGTGGCCACATAAAAGTTTGACATCTTACTCCGGAGCCAAGTAACCAAATGTGCCAACAACTTTTGTGACTGTGGCTTCTCCTTCGCCTGTTTTTCCAACAAGCTTAGCCAAACCGAAATCTGAAATCTAACGGAAGCAAGAGGAAAGCGCTTAAGTCAGCAAGGTACATCAAATGACCAATGGGATCTCATTAAGAAAGTCAAAAAACAAAAAATACCTTCGCCCTAAAGGAACCATCAAGTAAGATGTTGTTCGTCTTGATATCTCGATGAACATAATGATTCTTAGCATGCTCATGAATGTATTCTAGACCTCTAGCAGCATCAAGCGCAATCTGTACCCTCATAATCCATGAAAGAGAAGTATGACCTAGCAACAGTATTTGCACATCATCAAAAACTCAAACAGACTGGTCTCAGCTGAAACATGTAAGAACATATTTAGCACATCGGAATGAACAAGAACCAAATATTATACTTCCTTCTCCAAGTACGGTCGACAGAATTGACAAGAATATATTATCAAGCAGAAAGTACCCAATGAAGCGCATGCACAAGCACAAAGCATCAAGCAGAATGTTACCTTTGCTTTGTGGGTCATGTAAGTGATTCTTCAGTGTACCCTTCTGCGAATACTCATAAATAAGGAATAACTCATTATTGGTGGCTGCGTAACCAATCAACTCCACCTGCAGAAACCAAAGCGGCGCCATCTTCAAACCGATGAACAAGATTAGGACAGGAAATTTTGTTTCCTTATTTCGATGAAGAAAAGGACCTTACCAAATTTGCATGATGGACTTTGCATAAAACCTTCATCTCCGCCAGAAATTCTTTCGTATTTGTGGCAGTCATTCTTTTGATTGCAACTTCCTAAAATAATTTAGCAAACAAGAAAGCTCTCGGGTAAAGAACATTACCCTGTGAGTGAAAACATTTGCTATTAAGATTAGGTGGTTGTGTACCTGGTCATGCAAGACTCCGTGATAGACAGAACCATATGTGCCATGGCCAAGAAGGCTAGCGTCAGAGAATCCATCAGCTGAGAACGTGACATCTTCATAACTGAAAACTACAGGCTTCTCAACATCAAACGCATCAGCTCCCAGAACTGCAAAATACAGAGAAGCACCTTAGCATATGAATGGAAAAGAATACCACAAACGCTTGAAGAAGGTATGGGCAAAATAATTGCTTGAGCAAACTTAGTGCAATAGAGAAAAAAAACGGTTCCAATAATTTATATAAAAGAAAAGTCTCCAATCCACACCATCCAATTGGGCAGTTGAAGCTGAGAGAATAGCAAGTTACTTGCGGCACCAATTTCATTGAAACTGGGGAAGAAGGTGGAGACTACTTTCAGCATTATCATATTTTGCAAATTTATGTGCTAAAGTTCCAAAGAAATCTAGAGAAAGTGCAAGCACTTTAATGGTGTTCAGCTCTAGGGGTAATCTAAGGGGAAGGCTACAGAGGCGACTGAGAGTGCTGTACCTTTTGGAATATTTATCGGGTGACTACTGGGTTCACCATTGGTTTGCCTCCAATCCCCTGGTTTGCAGCAGATATATCTTCCCGAACCACAAAGGAAACTTGGGTTCCGAAGGATGTGAAACTTATGTGGACTTTTTTCATCATGATCCTTTCCACGGTTTCCCCGGGGTTCAGTAAAGCAGCTTGATGACCTCAATGACAGGAAAACAACCGCGCATACTACAATAACAGCAAGGCCAATCCCCAAACTCCCTATTATCCAGCGGTATGGGACATGAGCCTTGTGATTCTCTTTACTATCTGCAAACAAATAGGAGGTAATCACATCAAAATTTTTGTATCTATGAAGCCCGAAGACAGACGTTGACTTCGGAAAGAAATCAGTGTGATATGCATGTAAAGGGAATGCCGTAAGAAAGATAACAGCAGAAAGAGGAAGCTCCCCCTGTAAGACCAAATAGAGTGAACAATTCATGGTTGCTTCCACAGCAGAATTCTGATCCTCTTCCTCAAAATGGAAAAAGAACAAAGTTGACACTAATATCAAGCATATCTATTCATGAAGGAGAAGAGGTTACTTCCAGAAATTTATACAATGCTTTTGTGTCAATTGCAAATTTATTTGGACCATGTGAAGATAATCTATGCCAAAAAAAAATTCAGCATCGTGCACAAAAATTACTTTGAATAAATCCAGTTCTAAGTGATCCATCCCTATATTTATGCTCCCATGTTCACAAATAGAGGAACGAGGAAAAGGAAACACGGAATAGCTACCTACATGCAGCCCAATACTTGGAACTCAGATAAGTTATACACACCTGAAATGCTGTCCACAGATGGTGCTGGAGCAGGGGCTGGAGTAACATCATTCTCCAAAGGATAAGGCTCGCCAGGAACTGCAGCGTTGAATCAAACGATGAAGTTAACAACGAAGAGCAATCATAAGGTGTACAGTGTGAAATTTTCACTGCATAACCAAAGACTGGAAACAAATCAAAATCCCAACCAGAAAATCACACGTGGATCTTACTTAATACAGCCAATCAGATTACTTAGGCCCTGAAATCATCTATCTGGGATAAGGCAACATTGAGAGATAAGGCAACATCTTCAAACACATTAGCTCAGGCTGTAAAAGTGTCAATACATTGTGTTTAGCTCAAAGTAATTTGACACTGTGTTGGTATAACCTACGAACCAGGACTTCAAACTGGAATTAAATGCTACTACTACCGATCAAAAGCTTGAAACATTGGCAAGAAACTTAAGGCGAAAAAGACAACTTCAGAATTTGGAAATTGGCCAAGAACATGACTACGACTCGTATTCATCCCACCGGATGGCAACTATCCGCAAATTAAAGTCAATTTCCCCAATCGAATGCGCAAACGTTAGGCAGCAGATGTCGTCACGTACTCAAAACACAACAACATAACCGTGTCCCAAAACAGTTCACTAAACCACACCTCCCCTTTCCCTCATGCTTCAGAACCAAAATCAGATGGAAACACAAGAAATTACCTGAATTGAGGGGTATATAGTAGAGATCACCGACAGTGACATTATCTGGGTCACTAATCCCATTCACTTGCTCAATGCTATCCATGCTCACACCAAACCTACTGGCTAATGACTCCACACTATCCCCTTCCTTCAACACGTAACTCATTAAGTAATTCCACAGGCCACTCGAACACCCACAGAACAACCTCAGAGACACGACCGCGCCAGCCTTCGCTCTCCGCGTCGAATTCGGCAAGAGCGCAAGCCCGTCGTAGGCCTCGATCACGGTGTCGTAAACATACCCTTCATCGGATTTCAAGGTGTAGGTGGTGGTGGTGGCGTATTTCCTCGTCGTGGACAAGCAAGAACAGTTCTTTCTTATGAATACGTAGTCAAGATTGGAGTTTTCCACGGTTACGTCCGCCGGCAATACGTCGAACATGGACTGGATGACGCCGAGGGTCTCATTCTGCTCGGGCTTGAAGGCTAGAAACGATGCGCACAACCGAGATGTGTCCGTACAGTTCATGGGTGTCGGGTACGAGCAGAGAGGATCAATGAAGAGAAGCAAGCAGAGGAGGGGAATCAGAAGACGTGTCTGCGAAAAATCCATGCTTTTGATGGGTGGGAAGCTAAGTCTGGTGAAAAATGCGAACTTCGCGAATGCGATGCATGAAATTTGAGGCGAATTTTCACAGGGACAGCGAAGAAGCGAACGACATGCGAGAGGAGAAGCAAGAAGCTGGAAGTGAAACTGAGAAGCCGAAGCTGAAACTTGGTGGGTTTTTCAGGAGCTTCCAGAGAGACTCACACAATCAAGAATCAAGAAGCAGGGGAGGGGCGAAACCCAGAAACCACAGCAAGAAAACAAGAAGAAACGGGGAAGACGAAGCATAGAAAGAGCGGGGTCTCCGAATGCAGATTTTGCCAAAACAAGAGAGGAGTCCTGTTGGGTGAGAGGCTTTTGGATTTGCGGAAGGACACAGAAGGAAGAAAGGAATGAAGAAGAGACTCATAAGGAGAGCACAGAGAGCAGAGCACTTCCTTTCATTTTCTTTTCGCTTTTCTCTTCCTCTCTCTCTCTCTCTCCAACTCTGCCGAAACTGTTCGCAGCACACGACAGTGGAAAAAGGGAAAGCGACATGGGTAACTTTGGAGAAGAGACGAGGACACATTGCGCGGCACAGATATTTCCGTGACCTCTTCGTGCTGGTTTTAGCAATCTGCCCACCGTCTTGATCATATGACCCATTTCTTGAAATTTCTTTCTCCTAAAGTCTCTTGATTGTGGAATTTGTGATGTTGGAAATTAGCAAAAACAAAAAAAAAACAAATCTTTCTTTAATTTATCTTTTCTTGGGGGGAGGGGGCGATGGATTTCAACGGGAGGTGCTTGGAGAAGTTCCGTTGCCCACAAGTTATGCAGAAGAGGCTTTGATTACAGGTCCCATTTGCTGTCCTGACCCCCCCGGATCTCACTCTCTCCAGCCTAGCATTTTCCAAATATCTCTGTTTTTTTTTTCCTTTTTTTCCACATCATATTATTCGGAGCGAAGAAAAATGGTATTAAAAAGAATGAAGGACAAATTTTTTTTTAAATTTTTCGCATCATAATATATGGCCACTGCAAAAAAAAAATTGTAAGATTGGATCTTTACCGACCAAAACAGCAACTGGTCTTTGAATGAACAAGAACAATCTCCTCTTCCCACATAAGAAAAAAAGCCCCGTTATGAGTCATTTGTAAATAAGGAGTTCTTGTTGAGCATGCCCAATGAAAACATATTTTCATTTTCGACGCGATTTATCGCGCACAAACACGAGAAAAACGTCATTTTAAAAACGACGGGATTTCTTTATTTGAGTCAAGGGAAAAGAGAAAAAAAGGGGTAAGCTCTCTGTTAAATCTACAATTTAGAAAGGTCTTCTTCTGAGCAAGAGAGCAAGAATAGGAGAGAAAGCATCTTTCTCGATATGGAAATAGAGATAGGGGAAGGGGAAAAAGAATTTCAAAATTTGGAAAAATTAATTTATAAAAAAAAAAAAAGATTATTTTCTCATCATTGCGGGGGGTTACATCTTGGGAAATTTCGTGGGATCGAAAAGTAGTAGTTTAAGGGTGGGTGTGGCCGATAGCGGTTTTTGGGAAAAGTGGGTGCACGAATTGCGAAAATAAATAATATATAATACCGAAAATCAAATAATAAGATTAAAAAATTAAAAAAAATAAAAAAGAAGAGAGAGGACGGTTGGGGCCCATTTGAATATGGCGCCAAGTGCCCCCACGATGTTTGCCGATTAATCGTTGAATTCGCGGGTCAGGCAAGAAGGGCAAGAAAAAGACGTTGACCGAAAAGGTCGCGACTCCCCGGTAACCGACACCACAACACTAGCAAAGTACTACTAGTCTACTACTACTTGCTACTACAACTACTTGAGTAGTACTAGGAGCAAAAAACATAAGGTTAAGGTTGTTTGATTTGTCTGATAAACACCCATTTGTCAACCGTTAAGAGAGAGGGAGGGAAGGGCCAAAAACTGAGTAAAAATATATTTCTTGCTTAATAAGGAAAAAAGAAACCGTTATTTTGTTGGAAAATGGTTTTTATTTTTCTTTTCGATTTACAAGAGTCGTGTGTTCTTTCTTCTTTCGAATGTGACTTTACGTTCGAGCGAAATTAACGAGTTCATTCTATGTCCTGATAGCATCTCAAAGTCATGCGTCATCTTGCAAAAATTAAAGAGCGGGACGTCTAGATGGGAAACCGAGCGTGCCAGCTCTTTTCTCGTCCCTTTTCCGATCGATAAATGTTGTATTTGGTTTGAAAAGTTCATTTTGCATGTAAATTCAAACCTAAATCTCGATGGTCTTCATCTGAATCTTAACGCGGGAATTTCATTCTTCAGCATTCACAAAAAAACTTATGGACGGTGGACTCGGATAGACTTAACTCGTGACTTTTCTGAGTAGATCAATCTACCAAATAAAAAAACAAGGGATAATGAGATAAATGGTCATTTAAATTTTGTCAAATATGTAATGTAATCCATGGACTTTTAATTTGTTCAATATGATATTCGAACTATGCCAAATGTGCTATGCGGTCCCCAAATTTCTAATTTGTTCTGTCACATCCTCACCTCGGGGTTATTAATGCGACGTTATAGGCGCGTCACCGTCCCGTTTCTTTTATCTTCTCATTAAGAGCATGACGTCCCATTCAATTTTATCTTATCGTTACAAACAAGCGGAAGCATAAACTCAGGACAATCAAACAAACAATGGGGTTAAGACAAACACCATGAGCAAACCTTATATTTACAGGATGGCATATTTATTACATGAGTGTATTCTACAAACCCCTTTCTACGGGCCTTTTTCCCTTTTCAACATATTACATGTATCCGCGTAGGCTAGAGGAAATTCCTATCTCCTCTAGCACGACTACAGCTCCCAAAACTGGTATGAGACTTCCATGCCTATAAATCTAAAAAATAACAGAGTGAGTTAAGGACTCGGTAAGTAAAACTCATTAAACTCCGGATCGGAGGACACATCACCATCAAACTAAGCACATGTCATAGCCACATCAATTGATAGCAGATCAATAGCAAATATGCTTCAAACACACTCGTTTTTGCGCATAAGATGATCTCAACTTGTCATTCTATTCAAGCAACAACATCTCAACCAAAAGCATGCACACGAGAGATTCATTATCTCAACCGTTGGTAGGGTTCTTTCGGAAATTCTCCGAGCAACGTCCCCTAATCCGAGGCTGATAGCTTTTCATTCGAACTTAATCAGGCAACGTCTCCTAATCAAGGGCGATGGCTATTCATCCGAAATCCATTGGGCAACGTCCCCAATCAAAAGCGACGGCTATTCTTTTCCCTCGTGCGACCATGCCAACAAGCATCATACCAACTTGAGTACTTCACATAAAGTGTGTATCATCCCATGTTGCATCTAAAGTCTTAAGTCATGCCGGGCACGAAACTAAGCTCGTGGTCTGAACCGACCGGTCATGGCGCTGACCTACACCAAGCAAGGCTTGGATCGGTACGCCTCAATATCGACCTTCCAAGCAAGGCTCGTTCTGACACACCTCGACACTGATATGAACCAAGCGAGATTCATCCATGGCCCGGGGCGTGCATTTATACATGAGCAAACCTTACAAAATGCATAAACATGCAGGGCAAGCTATAACAAACATTCCACAAACAACGGAAATCAAGCAAGTCCAACAAGAATACGACTCGCCTAACAACGTAACACGACACCGTAGCCAAGGTTTAGTAAGTCTACTTACTATACCACACAAGCACAACAAGAATATGACTCGTCTAACAACGAAACACGACACTCTAGCCAAGGTTTAGTAAATCTACTTACTATATTACACAAGCACAACAAGAACATGACTCGTTCAACCAACGTAACACATTGCCTTAACCAAAGTTTAGTAGGTCTACTTACTATACCATACAAACACAACAAGAACATGACCCGTTCAACCAACGTACACACATCGCCCTAACCAAAGTTTAGTAGGTCTATGTACTACTCTCAAAGATTGTGGCTGAGTGTGGCCTAGGGGTGAGCCGAGCGACAAGGTTATGGCAAGGACACGGTGCGGCACGGGCATGGGCGCGGGCAAGGGTGCGACCGAGAAAGAGAGAGTGGCCAAGAGAGAGTGAGGGTGTAAGAGAGAGAGAGAGAGAGAGAGAGAGAGAGAGAGAGAGAGAGAGAGAGAGAGGTGATGGTGGAATGGTGAGCCAAAGAGGTGAAAATGCAAGAGAAGGCTCCTCTATTTATATGCCTCTTGCCAACTTGCTAGAGAAATTAGCCAACTTTCAATGTAAGTTATCCAAGCCAACTTGTAAGGTAAGTTAACCAAGCCAACTTGCAAGGTAAGTTATCTAAGCTAACTTGCAATGTAAGTTTCTAATAAAGCCATGGACTTGACTAAATCAACTTGCCTTCTTGTCCCAAGAAGTATTATAGGCGTGAATCATGTGACCCTATCATTAACACTCAATAATTGAGGTCCTTGCTAATTCTAATGGCATATCTTTCTTTGAACACCCTATTTTCACTAAAACTTGACTTAATAAGGAACTAAGGTAATTAGGGGTTTCAATTGCCATCAACGATTAACCATCCCATTTGGAACCAAGGTTAGGTGTAAAAATATGTCCGAGTGTGATTGGACATAACCGAGCCAAAGACCAGGCTGAATGGCACAAGGCCGGACCAGCCAAACTGACCAAGCACGAGGCCTAGCACACGGCCGGGCCACACGGGCACACGGCCTGCTGCATAGGCATTGAGCCGAGTGCATGAGCATAACACCGGGCCACACGGATGGCGTGCCAGCGCAAAGCCGGGCCACACGAGCAGCGTGCCGTGCGTATAGACGAGATGCATGGATGAGGGATTGATTCATAGATCAGACGTACGCATTGGCTCATGAACGGCACAATGCACGGCCCGTGGTCAAGTCTGGCGAGCACAAAACTAGGTTCGGACCGGAACCCATGGGCACAAAGCCCAGCACAAAGGTAAAGCACAATGGTCGGCACACGGACAAGTACAAGGCCAGCCCGTGGCCTAACTTACGGGCACACAGCTGGTGCATGGCCGGGCGCAAGGCCTAGCACATGGCCTGTCCATGGCTTACCCAATTCAACGTAACGATCCATAACTGATTCGTGACCGATCCATGTTCGAGCATCAATGATTCATAGTTGACCCTCCGTTGTCATGTAGTCGCGTGGAATTGAACTCAACGAAGTCGGTCTAGGGTCGCTCGTGACCGGTGCATGGTCAAGCGGAATCACCCGCGATCGATACACGTCTGCACGACGTCGATCCACGGCCGCCCGGGATCGTCCCACTACCGACCTTTATGGTCGAATGGTTGATCCATAGTCAAATCACTCTAATCGACTTGCATAATCAGGAAGTCATTTCATTGGCGATCCCTTAGCCGATCTATGAACGATCCTTCGATTGAACCATGACCGATCTTTTAAATACCCTTCTTACCAGACCAGCCGATCCATGACCAACCCTCGGTTCGGTCCGCCCACTGATTCCATAGCCATTTCCTTTGGTTAT